GCAGGTGATCTTCTCAACAGTCATTCATGTCTGTGCAGGAGTAGCTGTTCCGAATTCTCTTTTACCTTGTGCCAGAATACCTTTTGCTTTTGTGTGCTGTTGATAGAGTATATCCAGCTGTTTATAGTATGGGTTAGATTTCTTTTTCACTGCCAAAGAAGCGCACACCCAAATTTGTTGATTTTTTTTTTAATTGACTTAATTAATTGCATAAAAGGTTTTTCTTCCCCACTCCATTTCAAAAAACAAAGACGTCAGTCTTGCCTTGATTCATGTGTTTCAGTCAAAGCTTCAGCCCTTTGCTTACTTTACATATGCTTAACATGTTTTTTCCCATCTGCCTAACTTATGAATAGATATGGCTGAAGAATAGGGGAAATAATGTTTTTATACAAATTATTAAATACATTATTTCGCTACAACTACAGCTCGTTTAATTATAAGTCTGGCTTTCTTAAAAACTGATGGTGCCGTATGCTGACATATAAGAAGCAGAGAAATTATAAAGAAGAAAGATGCTATATGTTGCACATTCTGGCCAAGACTCTTGTAGAACTGTCTGGAGGTGCAGTACACAAGGTGCAGCTGAGGATGAGAGGCAAAGATTGTTTATAGCCCTGATTTTTCTGGGCTTCTCTGGGAGCCAAAATGGCACCTGGTGTAACTTAGCGTCTTGGCAGCCATTCTAAGTTATGGCATCTTCCTCAGGTCTGCATCTGGTTTGCAGCACAAACCAGAATGGCCCTATATTGGGACTTACAGGGGTCAGAGCAGGGCTAACTATGTTTGCACAATCCTGTACCTGTGCTGGGTGAATGTCATCTGGCCCTGTTAGCATCTACTAGGATGGAATGGAGGGAGGAGGGATAGCTCAGTGGTTTGAGCATTGGCCTGCTAAACCCAGGGTTGTGAGTTCAATCCTTGAGAGGGCCATTTAGGGATATGGGGCAAAAATCTGTTGGATGATTTAATTGGGGATTGGTCCTGCTTTGAGCAGGGGGTTGGACTAGATGATCTCCTGAGGTCCCTTCCAACCCTAATATTCTATGATCTCAACCATTTTGATATCTAAGAAAAATTGGTGCATAAATTTGATGCTTCTAGAAAAGCTTAGCCTCACCGCTCCTCACCATGATGAGTAGTTAACTCACAGATCAGCTACCTCAGAAAGCAATATCTCATTTTTCCTTTCAAGTTTTTTTTCAATAAATTTTTTTAAAGAACTTTACAAGGAAACCGTTAATGTTAGAGCTCCATCCTGCTTCCAAATATGTAGTTTACTTCTGGCTATTTTAAAAAAAAATGGCCAAGTTGTATGTGAAATTCAGATATACTGTTGTAAAACCCCACCCAGTAGCCAGTGTGTACTTCTATATTTTGCACACTGTTTAAGTAGAATACTATTCGGGCAACTCTCCAGTTCCATGAGGATTGCATGTTTTCTGCCATCTCCTTGGGAGAGGTTAGAGGAGGTGAGGGGTGATTTGTATGAGAAAATCCAAGAAGTTTATAATAGATGTCCATAGTTTTAAGATCTTTAACAAACCTCTAGGGGGAGAGAAAATGATATCTAGATAGGCTTCCTGACTTAAGAAGGTAACTTTGTTCAGGGCAACAGGTTCTGCATAAACTAACTTTTTTTTTTATTAATACTTACAAGTACTGTTTAGATCTTGAACTGGTAGTGCCTAAAAGGAACTAGAGCTGCAAATGTTGAAATACAGGGTACATCCTGTTTTACTGGCTGCCTCGCTTGTAGAGGGCATGTATTAATATGTAAAAACCCTCCCAAATTCCTAATCTTTCAAAACTCCTAATCAAATCTCCTCTTGCATTATATTTTGGACAATGATGCAGTATTGGTGCTTTTTGTGTAACATCACATGGGCATTTTGGTTTAGATTATCTGTTTTGTGGGTAAGAATTCACATGATAGGAAACTGACTATTCATGACAGATGGGAGCAAATAATCTCCTAGGTTCTGAATATTTAAAATGTCTGTCTGAACCAAAAGTCGTTTTTCTTCAGTATCTACATTACAAAAATGAAGCATGTAGCAAATTACAGTATCTCTTTTATCTGCAGTAATCTGATCTGCTGTGCCCAATTATGCTTATGGAAAATTGATAATGCTGTGTGACTAGAGGCTTTGTTGCATCTTTGACTCTGCCATAATATTAAAATACTATCGGAGAAGGATTTGTCTTTGCTAGTATGTGAATAACTGCACAGCTGTCTTCCAGGTGCCTGTTACTGTATCTCTGTTGCATGAGAATTTTATTTTGTCAAATTTTTAACATCGTACACTGAACTGACCAAATAAAACATTGCAAAATATAACAGGGAGAGAATTATGTCTGCATTAAAATCCTGACCCAACATTATTATTAATCCTGTTTAGATGGGCCCCTTTTCGTTAAACAAATATTGAGTAACATAGAAGTGCTTGGACTATATCGACTTTTTAACCTGCAGGTTGGAATATTTACTACCTTACACAAACTTGGTACACTGAGTTAATAAGTGTTTGAGCATTTTGGAAATAACTGAGCTGATCATTTTGACTTTCGTGGCTATTAGTCTTTTCCTCTTTTTGCTAATTTTGACTGATGTAACAAATCTCTATATTGTTTTCATGAGCTATGTTTTATTCTACTAAAAAATCACGTTAATATGGAACTCCATAGCCTAATGCTTCTGAGGCAATTCAATTTCTTTCATGGATATGAAATTAGCCAAAATGGTTTCATGTTGTGGATAGGTGAATAAATTGTTCATAGTATTAATATGACAACATTGTTGATGCATCACTTTCTTAGCTGCTGTCTAGAGAGATGAGATTCATTTTAACGGCTTAACTAAAAGATCAAAATCTTAAGTAGTCTGCTGAACTCAGATGTTTACAATACATTTGGGATCTCATTGACCGCACACTGAATTTTTGACCAATGAAGCTTTCATTAACATTATTGTGGGAAGCTATGGTTATTGTGGGAATGGCTTCAAGAATGTGAATGAGAGCTGTGCCTATCATTGTGGATTACCATTGTTGTTCTATCTTTGTCCACTCCTTTTGAGATAACAACTTTTAAGGTTTTGCAACTTACATAGATGGTTCCTTGCTCCCTGGTTATATTTGTAGTAAAGTCTGGGTCCTTGCATGTGTTTAACCAGTCTAGTTATAGAAAGAGTAGCGAAAGCTCCCAGCTTGCTTAGTCTATTCAAAATGAATCGTATTGTTTAATGTTGCAATCATATTTGGGGTGAATTATTTTGCAGACAGGAAACTCTGAGCTGACTCAGCTTCAGAGACGAGGCCACTGCAGTGTACTGACATAGTAATTATTTCAGAGACCGTTCTGCTCCTAATCTGAGCTCAAAATCAGTGTAAGATATTGCAGACTTTATCTAGTTTAGACTCCCATTCAGACCAGATAGAGAAACTGTCAATTCTGTAGATGCAAGATCTTTCTATTCAATATTAGCCATGTCAGGATAACCTACTGCAAATTGTACTTAATTCCTCTTATTTTTTAACTCTGTAATTAGTAATTGGTTTTAATTTTGGAGAGATTTTTGCATGACACCACATAGTAAGGAAAGACAGGCTTAAAAAAGACCATTTTATATTAGTATATAGTTAAGTTAATATATGGTGAGTAAGGTATATCGGACTTACATCAAGCATAATTTGTACCCTGAGAAAACTTCAAATGTAGTATAAATTATAAGATTTTGCCATGTATTAACCTAGTGCATGTTTCTTAAATAAAAGTTGTATTAAATGCCATTTACATCTCACTCAAACAGAACAGTCAGTCAATACGTGACGTTATTGTTTGTATTACCATAGTGCCTCTGGGCTCTAGTCATGGACTAGGCTTCCATTGTGCTAGGCACGCTACAAACCGAACACAAAGATGGCCCATGTCCCAAAAAGCTTCCAGGCCAAGTGTAAAGAGAGAAATAACTGATGGGTACAGACAGATTGGGGAGCATAAGAAAATGCTACACTATTGGTCAGCATGATAGGCTGTGGTCTCAGCGCATCAGCAGCTTAACTGTTCTCAGGCTTTTTGTAGGCACCATGGAGTTATAAGCTGGAGAATGTGTGTAAAGGTGTAGAACTGGATCAGACTAACACCTTCTCATTCATGAATTAAAATTAGAATTTCTAAAATAAGTGCCACAACCTGATGGATAAAAATCAATGATTTAAAAGATAAAATACAATCTTTTTTTTTATTTTAAAAATCTGATTTAAAGTTTAAATCATTTTATTTTTTGAAATAAACATATTTAAAATTAAATTTGAACTTGACAATCTATGTTAAGGCTTAAATTTACTATAATCTATTAAAATTATTTAAATATCAAATATAATATTAACAAGTACATGTTTGAACTTCGTGACTAAGCATCTGGAATCAGAGCTTACTGAAGTACTAAGCCAATTATTCAGGAGTAGCCTCTTCTGGAGGTGCAGAGAGAATATTTTCTTCATTTCAGTTTATTCAACTAGTTTGGTTCAATGACTACTACATTCAAAGTTAACAAATCATTTGGGAGTTGAAAAAGCAGGAAAGCTTGTTTTCCTTTTCCAATCTATGAATAAAAACTAATTGTGAGAATGAGATCTACTAGTTCTTAAAAGAAGCCTAAGTTTAGTGTAAAGTCTCTATTTAGTTGCAAATCAACATGTTTTAGTGGTTACCAACCCATGGGACTCAGCTTTTTTTTTTAGGAAAATAGCTAAAAAGTACAAATGCAAAACATGATTACAGTAAATTATTTAAATCAAGGTTTCCTGTTTGCTCATTTAAATCTTGATTAAAATTGTTGATTTAAATCAATCCTCCGTGCTCCAGGCATATCTGATTAGCATGACTAGTTCCAGATGACTCAGACTAACCTATCTTTTATTGAATAGAATTCCTGTTAGCGGTTTGAACATATTATGATAGCATCTGTTTAAAGTTTTACTATTTTTTTTCCCCAGGTCTATAAAGGTGAATTTCAGCTTCCTGATTTTCTTAAAGAAATGCCACAGGTACAGTATTGGATTGTTTTCCTTCTCTGTGGTAAAGTGATATGGAGAAAGTGTGTGAATGTGAGAGAGAGAGGAGACGTGATAGACAACTTTATTAACAATCACTTTATAGAGAACTAATTCTTGCGTTTCAGTGTGATTATATATTGTTGAGTCATAGGTAATATGTCCTCCTATGAATAGGTAGGCCTTCCATGACAGAAGTTGATAGTAAGAATGGTTAGATTTGTGAAGCCACATAGTGCTTCATTTCCCTCTGAAGGAATGCTTAAATATCTGAGTTTACAGGGCATTACATTTTGCTTCTCTTTAGAGAACTTCCTCATCTGGATTAATGAAGTATGTGCCATAAACTGGGCATTGTATATAGTTTGCCCCCCTGTCTAAAGTAATTTGATTTTTCCCCCCCTCTACATGCTGGGGCCTTCTTGTATCCTATTTTTAATATTAATTCCATGCCTACTTTTTCTACTTGATGTCTTGTTTGCTAGTGGGTGATAGAAAACTGTGTGCCTACCAGCTTTCCCACAGAGCTTGAGATCTTCATTGCTCTTCTCCTGCACAGTCCTAGAGAGTCCTAGCGTCCCCACACTATTCCTGAGCCTGTTTGCATCTCTGGTATGGAATGTAGCACGCTACGTCCACACTAGAGAAGAGTCCAAGACAAAGTGCCAGATCCAAACATTCCTGGAACCTTGGGAAACTTCAGATCTGAACTTTGCCATTCAGGCCAAGTTTTATTCTAAATACCTCTAAATGGAATGTTGTGTATTACTGTTGGTAGTAAAGAAACTTAATTTGCTATCTGTTGCCTTGTTCTGAAAAGTTCTAAATCAAGTACAGAGCAGATAGCGAGGCTATCTCCAGAGTGTTTTGCCACACTTCAGTAAAGCTGTTCAGTCCTGGGCAGTAAAGATAAGTTCTCATCAATTACTAAGAACATTGAACTAGTTAATATACTTCACAACTTTAATTATAATTCAAAATTGGGTACGTTAAGATATAATATTCTCATCAGCTAACTAGTTCAGGGAGTTTTGCTGACCTTGTAATGCATTTGCATTTACATTTATTTATTTATAGATAGGGAGGATTATCCTCTTCCCAAAGTAGTCAAGTGTATTCTATAATAATATAATTATGTATTAAGCACTACTAATAATGTGATGCTTATACATGGTACAGTCCTTTCCCAGAGGGTACTGAAGAAATTAGAATAGGGGCTATGTGAGCAGTAATAACTAGAGAAGGTATTTCCTTGTAGTTTCGATAACAGACTTGAGGTCCTTCAGACATAAATTGCCAAGAGAGTGCCTGATCTAGGACTGGTAGCAATATAAACCCAACAAAGGTTTTCCATTTCTATGTACGGCATCTCAAATTCTGGGTTCTGTTGCTGGTATCATTACTGATCTTCTGCTAACAATTTAATGACCTTTACTTTAATCAAAGAGAAAGTAGGACTTAATTCTCAGAATTCCATTAGATTAATATGTAGATGTCTTGTGACTACAAACAAGTTTTAAAGAATTAAGAAATATATAAATAGACTCTCAAACAGATATATTTTTCAACTGATTAATCTACATTGAGGAATTGTTGTACAATAAATGTACATGTTATAAAATTATCAACCACATTTTTTTCATTGCTTTTAATATGGTGAATCTAATGACAAAAAAGAAAAGACTGCATCTAAATGTGCCTTGTTCTATTCTGTTAATCTGGCATTGAAAAAGCATCACGCAGATTGTCGCACCCAGGAGAAAACATGCTCACTCACCTTTACCATGAAGATAGTAAACATATTCATGATATTTTACTTGCCTGTTTTACAAAACTAAACTAAAACCAAAGCAAACCCAAAAGAAAACAAAACACTGTCCCTGATGAGTGAGAATTTTACAAGGTTGGATTGAAAACAAAAATTGATCATGTTGTTGTTTGTAGGAATGCATACAAATTATGGGCTCAGTCCTGACCTAGGGAAAATTCCCAATTACAGTTACATGAGGAAAGGCTATAGCAGGGGTGGCCAACCTGTGGCTCCGGAGCCACATGCAGCTCTTCAGAAGTTAATATGTGGTTCCTTGTATAGGCACTGACTCTGGGGCCAACTTTCCAATGTGCCGGGGGTGCTCACTGCTCAACCCCAGGCTCTGTCACAGGCCCTTCCCCCACTCCACCCCTTCCCGCCCCATCCCCTGAGCCTTCAGTGTCCTCGCTTCTCCCCCCTCCCCTCCCAGAGCCTCCTGCACACCACGAAACAGCTGATCGGGAGGGAGGGGGAGGCGCTGATCAGTGAGGCTGCCGGTGGGTGGGAGGCGCTGGGAGCAGGGTGGAGGGCTGCTGACATATTACGGTGGCTCTTTGGCAATGTACATTGTTAAATTCTGGCTCCTTCTCAGGCTCAGGTTGGCCACCCCTGGGCTATAGGGTAGGATCCCTGTAATTGGTAGCACTTCTGGTGATGTATCTATGTACAAAGTGCTCGAGATACCAAAGGCTGGAAGTGCTTATCATTATTGGTATCTTAGGGCTTGTTCATGCAAAATTAATTAGAATAATACAAAAGTTAAATTGAAAAAGATCTAATGTTAATGTGATTCTGCCCTATAGAAACAGGGAGAGGAATAGCCGTGGAGGAGTGGGAGATGAATTGATGGGGGTTGTGGGGCTGAACTGAGCGGGGTAGAGGCTGATGGAATGGGTGTCTGAACTGAATGAACGGGGCAGAACTGATAGGGTGGGTGCTGGGGGGGGGGCAAACTTGTGGTAGGGCTGGGGGACAGGATTAATTGCTGGGGTGGGGGCAGGCATGTTTGAGGCCGAGAGCTCTTGCAGCAGGGGCAAATACATTTGGCAGAATGAGCGACATTAATTGTCACGCCCCCACGCATTGGGGATGGGTAAGTGGAGTTCAAAAATCAAGACGGACTGAAAAAACACACTATAATTTTTTCTATAAAAATCTCTTGATTTTTAGGAGTGAGAGTCATGATTTTTGATTTCTTGAGGTTAGCATTACTACAAAAATGGTGGTTCTAAGAACCTGGGAGCCATAGAGAATTGCGTATTTGGAGAGGACCAGGTAATTAGGTAACTCACTAAAACACTTCATCTTTTCCCCCTTCCTCACACTGATGCCGTAAAATAATATGTATTAATGTCTGTCAGATACGTGGCAATTTTAAAAAGTTTGAGTGCACACAGGACAATGGTTCAGCCCAATGTGCTTATGAAATTTCATTTTACTTGAACAGTATTTCCCAAGTGGTGAGTTGCAACCCACCATTGGGCCATGCGCAGGTTCTAGATGGGTCGCAGGTCTGGTGCTAGGAGGAGGGGGTTGGAGAGTGAGCTTGCCATGCACTCACCCTGTAGCAGTGGCTCCTGTCTCACATGGCTGGGCCCTGCTCTGGGCGTTGCAATCTGGCGCACAGGGTCACAGCGCCACACGGGGTTGGCCCGACCATGACAGAAGGGCTCATGGGATTGCAGCACCATGGCTATTTGGCCCAGTCATGGTGGAGGGGTGGCTGAGTCAAATCTGAGTGGTGCTGCGACCCTGCGTGCCTGGTCGCAATGCCCAGAACGAGGAGCTGGGCCCAGCCTCGTGTGACAGGAGCTGCCACTGTGGGGTGAGTGTGGAGCAGGCTTGCTCTCCCACCCCCTCCACCCCGGCCTCCCTTCTGCCCTGGGCCAGGATTAAGGTTGTGGTGCCAGGTTGTAGGGAGCTGCTGCAGGCTGTCAGTGTCCCCTTTGCAGTGCGAGGAGGAGGATGCTGGTCTGTGATTTTGGGGATTCCCCCATTTGTACCCTGGGAGGGTCAGAAAAATAGACAAAATGGAATTGGTGGGTGACCTTAGTAAAAAGCTTGGGAGCCAGTGCTCTAGAGGGAGTATTGTCACCCTGTACAGTACCGGGGCGCTGTTTCCCACTCTGCGGCTCCAGTGCACCTGTGTGGTGGCACCCGCCCTCCCGGATGGGCTGGGGCCGCAGCGCCCGCCTTCCCAGCACTCCAGGGCTGCGGCTGCAGCACTGGCACTCCGGGGCTGGAGGTGCTAGCCTGGGGCGGGGGCCGGCGGCTGCAGGGGGGACGGACCCTAGGCTCTTGCAGGGGGGCGCAGAAGCGGCAAGGCCTCGGGCAGAAGGAGCAGGCTAGGGGCTAGTCTCCCCCAGCTGAGGGTTCATGCGCTGGCAATGGCCGGCAGGCTCCTACCTGGCTCTGCGTGGCTCCTCGAAGCAGCGACATGTCCTTGCTGCCTCCTAGGCAGAGGCGTGGCTAGGCGGCTCTGTGCGTTGCCCCTGCCCCGAGCGCTGGCTCTGCAACTCCCATTGGTCAGGAACCATGGGAGCTGCGGGGGTGGCACCTGCGGGCGGAGGCAGCATGCAGAGCTGCCTAGCTGCGCCTCCGCCTAGGAGCTGCAGGGACACGTCAGCGCTTCTAGGGAGCCGCCCGAGGTGAGTGCCGCCCGGATCCAGCATCCCGTACCCTTTCCTGTGCCCCAACCCCAGCTCCTTACCTCTTACGGTCATTGGGAAGGTTAGTGTGATGTTTGTAACCAGTTTTTCAGAAACTTTGCTCATGTTTTCAGTGTCATACTCTCAGGATAAAAGGATAGGCACATTTTGTATTTCAATATCCAAAAATATAGGAACAAACTATTTTTCTTAAGGATAACTTTTAATTATTCTTGATATGTTAAAACTAGAGATTCAGGAAAATACACAGAAGAATTTATCACATGTGAAATTAAACCTTTTGACTTGCCCCATCAGTTCAAATTAAAAATATTTTTTTATTTAAAAACCAAAATTGGTTTCTTTTGTTCCAGCCAAAGAAGACAGTAGAAAGGAAGTCCCGTGGCAAGATAAAATGAACATGGACCAGTAAAGTAGAGTAGCTGTGGTGTCTGTTTCATGTTTTCAGAGCATAAAACTCTTAGCTGTGGGCACCTTGAATCTTTCTGATAAACTTTCTTTATGTGCGATTTCTAACCTGGGCTTTGCTCTGTTACTGGGTGTTTGCCTGTTCTTACATTTTGAACAGTTAGTGTTCATGCTTTGCAAGCTGTGCTTAGCTAATATAAAGCCATTAAGAACCTGACACCACTCAGCTAAATGTGCTGTTGCTCACAGTATTCACAGTATTGCTCAGTTCTCAACTGCTGGCCAAAATGTCTATGCAGCTTAAAGGTGAAAAATTATTTAAATGTCTGATTTTTAGCAGTAGTAGTTCAGCAAACTGATTTGAAGACGTATGCAGTGGTTATTTCATAGAACTAAATGATGACAAAGGCTTGTTAAGCTACAATATTACATGTGTAGTTGCAGTATATATAGTACATGTGCACAGTTGAGTCGAAAGAAAGAAAAAGTTAGTAGTACATACCTGTGTGGTGTTGAATTTCTGAATAGTGTAAGTTAAGCTATTTTTAAAATACTTCATAGAGCACAGTAAATAGACATGGTGCTTTATAAACCCTAAATTGTCATGTTTCCTGAAGCCTACAATATTAGTTATTTAAAATATAAATAATTCCTATTTTTAAAAAATTGACCTGGTGTTAAGTCAGCAGAATTTGGTCCTTAGCTTGCAGCAAATGTCTGTTGTGTTCCAAGTGAGATGGTTAAAATGGAACTCTTCTAATTCTTAGTAGTAGAACTGATAGTTAATTTAAATCTGCTTAATTAAAAAAAAGTAATAGTTTTAGGTTTCTCCAAAAAGAGAGAGACATGTAAACTGAAGTCATAAAAAAAAATCTTTAGAGAGACAAAGTGGATGAGGTAATATCTTAGATTCATAGACTTTAAGGCCAGAAGGGACCATCATGATCATCTAATCTGACCTCCTGCACATTGCAGGCCCCAGAACCTGAGTCACGTATTCCTGCAACAGGCCCATAACCTGTCTGAGTTACTGAAGTCCTCAAATCTTGATTTAAAGATTTCAAGTTTGGAGAATCTACCATTTACTCTAGTTCAAACCAGCCAGTGACCCATTCCCCAAGCTGCAGAAGAAGGCCAAAAAAAAACCAAAAAACCCAGGGTCTCTACCACATGCTTCACCATTACATTAATTACTTCAGGAAAAAAATCAGCTGTGACATCCTTAACAAACATCATGTCCACCACAATCTCTCCACTGTGGAGAGGATAGCTGTACAGTCCCTAAAAGCCAACCACTAAATAGTGATCAAACCAGCAGACAAAGGGGATGTCACTGTAGTTCGCAATTGTGATGACTACATCAGGTAGGCCAACTGATAACTCTCCTACACCACCTACCATAAAGAATTCAAAGAAGACCCCCATATCACAATTCACACAGGAATTTAAGGATATCATCAAATCCTTCCCCAGACCACTCCAAGACAATCTCTAGCACTTAATCTCCCACAAACCTACACCAGGGACCTTCTACATGCTTCCCAAGATACACAAACAAGGGAACCCAGGCACACCCATCATATCTGGCCATAGCACTCTTACTGAAGGAATATCAGGACTCATATAAACTATGCTGAGACCACTCTTTACTCAAAGGACTGACTTCCTCCAGAAACTCCACACCACCACCAACCTCCCTCAGAACACCGTACTTGCCACTATGAATGTTGCTTCCCTATACACCAATATCCCTCACCATGGCTGCTTCACATATCTATAAGACAATGGACAACATTGAGATATCTACCTTAAACACATTGCTAAACTCATCCTTTTCATCTTCATCCTTAACAACTTTACATTCAACAACAAACTCAGAAAAAATAAGACAAAAATACCCTATCATCCGTGGGTTAACACTTTTCACAAAATGATCATTCCAAATCTGACTTCTCAGTCCTCATCCTTAAAGGAAACCTGCATAATACCTTCAAAAGACAGGCCTGGGAGCTTAAATTCATAACTCAGCTAGACACCAAAAATCATGGTCTCAATAGAGACACTGGTTTTATGTCTCAATACAACAGTCTGCAGCCCGGTAACTCTCCTTTGTCCTATGACTGCAGAGGTGTTAATTGCCACTTCAGTTTGAATAGTTTCTTGCAATGTGTGATCTCCTTATGTTTAACAATCTGTTCCACCTTGTGTTTAGCTGTGACACTCTGAGTAAGTTTCCCAGATCTGAAAAAGAGCTCTGTACAGCTCAAAAGCTTCTCTTTCACCAACAAAAATTGATTCAATAAAAGATACTACCTCACCCACCTTGTGTCTCTCATATACAGAGACCAACACAGCTACAACAACACTGCATAAAAAAAAATCTTTGTGATATAGCAGTAGAGTTAGTATGCTTCATGGGCAGTTTTATGCTAAAAGAATTATATATGATTGCTTCCCTTTTGGAAAATCTGAAGCTGGAGTTGAAATTGCTTCTATTAAATTAGTCTTACTACTGTTGATTGAGTCTTGAGTATAATAAAAAGAACCAAACAACTAAATGGCACTATTAGTGATATTTTTATTTTGTAATGGAAAATAACTAATTTTGTTTTAATGGGTAGTAGCAGTTTATATTAATATATGTATATATTTGCTTTAACAGACCGAACCAGTGGAGTAGAATACCTTATGTGCAAGGTAAGTCCATCAGATAATAAAATGGAGTATCACAAGGTTATTTATCTGCTCCAATTGTTTCAGTTAAACTGGTTAATTGTGATTTTTTTTTAAAATCTCAGATCATTAATGGAAGCTTCAGAGTGGAAAATTGCATTCTGCATTAATATATTTGGGGCTTAAGGTGGGAAATAGATGAAGGTATTTAGTCCAGATTCAAAAGTAATATATACAATTTGGTATAATTCAATATGCTGAGGAGCTGAAAAAGTGTAAATTACATCATTTCAGGATTGCTAGACAACCATACATGATATCACCTCTGAATTTAAACTATTTTCTCTATTCTCGGATTTCTCTGCACTGTGGTACGGCTGGAAGTACAAAGGAAAATATAAAATGAACAAACTATTTAGCACTTTTTAGTAGATCTTCATATTTTTAATTTGTTAAAATTAATGTACAGGTGACATTTGTACATCAAATTGAAATGCATTTTTAACAAGACAAAGATTTTTAGAATAAACTTTTTATATTTTTAAAGACAGTTCTTTGGCTAAAGAGCGGGATAAGAAATGACCAAAAAAAAAATGAGCTAACCGTAGTTTTTTGCCTATAGTGTCCCATATATCCTGAAACAGCCACAGGAAAATTGTATTTCTTTGATGAAAAATGGCCAGGGTAAGGAATGCATATTTTAGTGCACTTTGTACTGGGACACTGGTGAATGGTGAAGGCATTACTGCTAATTCTATAATCAATAATGATTTTATTTTTAGAGCACTCCTTGCTTAAAATATTCTGGGTGCTCAACAAAATGCAACATCCATCTTAAATTAAACCAAGGCAACATAGTGTTTATAAATAAACAAATAGCACATGTACACAAAAGGATTATGTTGCATTATAAAGAAAAATTCTGTTTGGAAACATTCTTAATTTAGGTTTCAGAGTAGCAGCCGTGTTAGTCTGTATCCGCAAAAAGAACAGGAGTACTTGTGGCACCTTAGAGACTAACAAATTTATTAGAGCATAAGCTTTCGTGGGCTACAACCCACTTGCTCTAATAAATTTGTTAGTCTCTAAGGTGCCACAAGTACTCCTGTTCTTTATTCTTAATTTAGAAATCTATGTGAAAAGCATTCATTTAGTATTACATAAGAAAAACATTTAAAACTTTTATGTCTCAGATAATTTTACTTTAATAAATAATTGGCATTGGAGTTTGATTTAGTGCTGTTTTTTACGTTCCAAAGCAGCAAAATCTCCTTGAAAGCATCCTCAGAAGCAATTTCACTGTCAATTTGTGATGAAGAGAAAGTTGTTAATAAAAAAATAATTTGCACTATGTAGCTAAAGGGTTTATTGAAAGTATACAGAGATAAAAAGCTTTTCACTGTCTTTGCCTTACAAATGACTTACTTCCGACAAGGTTCCATGCTTTAAAAATATCCATATGGGGTTGAAGGAAAGGTTTATGAGTGGCTGGGCCTAGCTTGGATGGTAATTTTGGACCTGTTGAAATTGTTGCCATTCCAACTGTGAATTATTCTTTGTATTTATGAAAATGTATGGGGCTGCAAAATGAATTTTCACAAATAAAATGAGTGCACAAATTCTAACTTGTTTAATTATTATTTTCTCTTTGACATGACATTATAAGGACTGTCCTACCAAGATCAGTGAGGTGTACCGCTCATGGCCTGCTTTTTTCGAATCTTCTCCCATTTGCCTTCAGACTGTGTTTTTTGTTTTGTTTGGGGCGTTTTGTTTGGTGGTTTGTTTTTGGTTTTTTGTGAGCACACTTAAACCTGTAACAATAAAAGCACTTTTCTGATATGGTGAACACTTTCACTGATGATGATGATGTACTGTGTTACATTTATACAACTGTTTCTACAGTTTGAAAATGAAATTAAAGCAAAATCTGGCCTATGTTGAAACTGCTATTCTGTCTATATCTCTGTTTAATTCCAGAGCTTAATTTTAAAGGGTTTGTAAAAATGGTTTGTGAAACATTTGGAATTTAAATGTATGAAATTTTGTAAAAGTGGCTTGTGCTTGTCCTAATTTGTGTTTGGTTTTTTTTTTTGGTAGAACAGTTGTGCCTGTTTCAATTTTATTGACGTGGAAATTGTCAAATATCTTTCTTTTAATTATTTAAAAAATCACTTCTGAGATGTTGATAAATTACATGTACATTTACAATGCAGTGATCTTTTGTATTTTATTTTTCAAAATAAATGCTTTAAATGTGATTTTTTTGTTTTGAGTTATTAATGCAGCTTTTAACTTGAAGATCGTCATGCAGAAGCAAGGTGTTACTGTACCATTCAGGTGAATAGCTGTAATAATGAAAGATACAAACTGAGGCCCTGAAATGACAGACATTTATGTATGTGCTTAACTCTAATGTGTGACCAGTAGGAGTACTCATGTTCTTAAAGTTAAGCACATGGAGATTTGCAAGATTGGGGCCTAATATATTGGAATTTTGTTTCCGCATATGTAAATCCTGTTTTTCTATGTGTATTTCCTGCATGATCTAGCTTGTTTGTTGATTTAGCGCAGGGATGCTAAGCTAATAAGACACTAGTAGATAATTTATAAAGTAGGTTAAATAAGTATTTTCTTTACCAAGATTCCTCTAATAAACAGCATAAAACCTGTCTTCTATAAAACTATTGTTCTCCACTGATAATAATTCAGAAACCTCTGAAATGTCATTTATACTTTTTTTTCCCCGTACCCAGAGGAAGTCGTCTTGGTGGTTGTGTGACAGCTGAGTGGGAGGATCTTTGTACTACAGTTACAGCTGCTTATTAAAAATTATAAATGTCTCACCAGAATATTTAAAGAACTCTGTCAAGGCATTAGTCATCATTTTAAAAATATTTTCTTTCTTTTATTTAAAGTAACCCACTATTTCCTTGCTAGAAAATGTTTTCCCTGCATTTCACATGCATTTACACCCTGGGTTGTCAATAGAAGGTTGCTGGGGAACACTTAGCTAGGTTTTCCTGTCCCTTTAACATTAGCAGTTTGTCTTGGGGGGGAGATCCAAAAACACGTCGGCTCTTGAACATTTTGAACTTTTTGTTCATAAAGTATTGAAATGTAAATTCTACTGCTAAAAATAGAGAAATGATTTGTCATCAAATCTTGTCTGGCAAAGTATTTTAAGAATGATTATTCAAAGGAATTTTGTCTGTGCACTGGTCAATTGACTGAAGTTTTAAAGTTTGTGGATGTCTTCACTCTTCCCTCAAATATTGTGGGCTCTCATCAGAATTTTTCTCTGTTTAGCCTAACTCTGTCCCTGTATTGTGGATGAGAAGGACAGATGAATAATTTTTTTATTTTTATTGGCAGCTTAGGGAGTTTCCTTTCCTTTTACTGCAAGGCAAGTAATTCAGTTTGAATTGGTTAAAATGGGATCTAGTCTTACTTTTTAAAAATCTATATTAAAAGACATTTTTCTAGATGCAAACAAGGAGTGAGACATGTTTTTCACAATTGTTGAGTTAATTTGCTATGCTAAATGTGCAAGTAAAATTCTTCTGTTCCTGATAGCTTAGTACAGTAGAGCCAAAGAGAAAACAGAGCATCCCCTAGTGACAGAATAGAGAAGTGCTGTTTTTTAATTTCTGGGTCTCAACAATCTGTTAGCAAAGTAGATGATAAAACCAGTTTTGTCTTGAAAATGGTCTTTATTATTTTCAGATTGCTATCAAACTGTTAGTCTTTTCTGGAACAAAAATCCTCTGATGTTAGTCGCAACCTTCTTTTCTTTTCTTTCATGAGCAACAACAGACTTTTTTTTCTTTTTTGCAATGTTCTGGTATTATAATTGCTGCATTACACCCAAATTCATGTACTTTAGAGCAGCGATCCATTACATATGTTTGTTGTCTGTTTAAATAAATGAAATGGTTTAGGATCTTTTAGAATGAAAAGCTATGTAAACATAAGCATTAACAGCTAAAAATGTACAACTATAAACATTGTTATTGTTCCTAAAAGCTTCTTCATTACATGGTGTCCATCAGACAGGTAATGAATACTATTCTATATTATCAGATGTTTGACTTGTATGTTTTTCTTCAATTCCTTTCTCCTTTTAATAGCTTATTCATAGAAATGTAGGGCTGGAACTTTGGAAGGGACCTTGAGAGGTCATCTAGTTCTTGTCCATTACCTTGTGCTGAGGCAAGCCCAAGTATATCTTACACCAGGCCTGACAGGTGGTTGAGTATAGCCTGTTCTTTAAAAATACTCTCCAGTGACCGGGATTCCACAGCCTCCCTTGGAAACCTATTCCAGTGCTTAACTATCCTTGTAATTAGAAAGCTTTTCCTAATATCTAACCTCAATCTCCCTTGCTGCAGATTAAGCTGATTACTACTTGTCATGCTTTCAGTGGACACGGAAAACAATTGATCACCTGCCTCCTTATAACAGCTCTTAATATATTTGAAGACTGTTAGCAGGTCCCACCTCAGTCCTCTTTTCTTAAGACTAAACATGCTCAGGTTTTTTTTACCCTTTCCTCATAGGTCAGTTTTTTTAAACCTTTCATCATTTTGTTGCTATACTCTGGACTCTGTCCAATTTGTCCACATCTTCCTTAAAGTGTAGTGCCCAAAATTGGCCACAGTACTTGAGCTGAGGCCTCACCAGGGCCAAGTAGAGCTGAACAATTACCTCCTGTGTCTTATGTATGACACTCCTGTTCAGGTATCCCAGAATATGTGCCTTTTTCACAACTGCATCACATTGCTGATTCATATTCAATTTGTGATTCACTATAACCACCAGATCCTTTCCAGCAGTACACTGCCTAGCCGGTTATTCCTCATTTTGTATTTGTCCAATCTAAATATTTTGTGGCCTGAAGTATGAATGAAAGAGCTGTCATTAACCATGCAGTGAGTGATGTAGAATATTCATGACTCTACCTGATGTCTATTTGAAAAGGCTCTTACACAAAAGATGTTGTCCCAATTTGACTTGTAAATATTGTACTTATTGCAAGTGATCATTTACATGCCTGCATATAACTGTCATATGTAAAGGTCTTTCACCTTCTCTTACTGGAGATGGGACTGTTAAGTATTGGGGTTGAGACTGGATGGCCATTGTTCCCATCTGCTGCCTTTTTGGTGGCCTGTTTGAAGTGAGTTGGTGGTTTCAGCCTATGCAGGTTCCAAGTGGACAGGTGGTCACAGCACAAAATGCATCACCACCGTTAGTGCTAATGAGCATAAGAACGGCCATACTGGGTCAGACCAAAGGTACATCTAGCCTAGTATCCCGTCTTCTGACAGTGGCCAATGCCAGGTGCCCCAGAGGGAATGAACAGTAATCAAGTTATCCATCCCCTGTCGCCCATTCCCAGCTTCTGGCAAACACCATCCCTGCCCATCCTGGCTAATAGCCATTGATGGACCTATCCTCCATGAACTTATCTAGTTCTTTTTTGAACCCTGTTATCGTCTTGGCCTTCACAACATCCTCTGGCAAGAAGTTCCACAGGTTGACTGTGTGTTGTGTGGAAAAAATACTTCCGTTCATTTGTTTTAAACCAGCTGCATATTAATTTCATTTGGTGACCCCTAGTTCTTGTATTATGAGGAGTAAATAATACTTTCTCCACATCAGTCATGATTGTATAGACCTCTATCATCTCCCCTGTTAGTCATCTCTTTTCCAAGCTGAAAAGTCCCAGTTTTATTAATCTCCTCCTATGGCAGCCGTTCCATACCCCTAATCATTTTTGTGGCCTTTTTCTGAACCTTTTCCAATTCTAATATATCTTTTTTGAGATGGGGTGACCACATCTGCATGCAGTATTCGAGATGTGGGCATACCATGGATTTATATCAAGATAGGAGCGTACCATGGATTTATGGCAGTCTATTAGCAATACCAACTCAGTCTACCCTCTCTCAACCCTACTTTTTAAGGCACATTGGCAGAGAACTACTGAAGAGAAACTGTCACCTATGATTTGTCTGGACTTCAGATTACATTCTTTAAAAAGAAGGGGTAGTTGCAGCCTTTAGCCCAGTGCGCATCATCCGTCAGTGTCAAATTAAAATGTTCAAAGCTGTAAATAAGGATCTTCCGTTTGTTGTCTTAGTTGTGCTGCCATTACTTCATGTTACTTTCAGATGCCTCTTCAAATAGGGTGACTTTTTGAAAAGGACTATATGAAATCATATTTTCACGTCCAGTTTATCATGCAAATGTAATCATGGCTAAGAAAATGTAAGTAGACACTGTGTGTGTGTGTGTTAAACGCTTTATCTAGGCACTAACCACTAGCAAATATGGAAAATAGGGAAGGTGGGTAACAGGTGTAAATAGCCACTGGTCAACACCCTGGCAGGTAAGGCAAAGTAAAGTGCAGGTGCTGCTTTTTAAGATGTATTCTGCAGGTACCTGCCCGGCGGGGGTGCTCCCAGAGCTCTGTTTCTGCAGCACCGTTTTAGGGCTCGCTCCCTCGCTGTGCCCGGGTTTTCTGTTGCTTTATTTCCCTCCTTGGTGCCTGGGGGCGACACCTCCCATCACCGCGCTCTGCAGCACCACCCGTCCCGCCCACACGTGTAAAAAGGCAAGTGAGCGATGGGGCGTGAGCCCCTTCCCGCCACCAGCCCCGCCCATCAGGGGACAGGCCACGCCCCCTCCTCCAGTCCTGCCCTCGCTCGGCCGGTCGGAGGAGCGCGTGACGCGGCACGTAGCGCGAGGGGCAAGAGGCGGGGCCTGTGGCTCATCCAGGGCGGGGCTGCGCATCCCTTCGACGGCCTCCGCAGCTGGGGAGCCGCTACCGCAGGTGAGGGGGAGGGCACGCGGCGGCCCCGTCCGTTGGGGGGCGAGGGCCCCCCCCGGCTCTCGCTGGGCTCTGCCCAGGAGGGGAGAAGAGGCCACAGCCCGGGCCCGTGTGCCCACCCCCCGGCCTCCCCCACAAGGGGCTGTGGCAGACTCAGACGTGAGGGGCTGGGCGGGCGGTTAGCCCGGGACGAGTGGACAGCAAATGCCCAGCACTGGTTATTGCTCCAGCCCTAGGGGGGTGTTTCTAGCTGGGCTCCTGAAATGTGGGAGATCTGTGCGGAGTCTCCCCATCCCATCCCCAAAGCCTGGATAGCTGCAGCCCCACTGCGTAAGGGTCACTATTCACCTGCCTATACTTGGGGGCGGGGGGAGTCCTGTGCTGCAGTGAGTGACTTTCTCCACCTGGATGTAATCCGAGTCATTTACCGGGGATGTTTTCTACCTCGTGATAGTGTGATACCTGCAGCCAGATGGGTAGATCCAGTAGTGCTTTTCTAATTGCTGAAAAAGAAAAAGAAAAGAAAAAGGCAGCCCCTTGGTAGACACCTATGTGTCTACCAGCGTGGTGATGGATGTAGTTTTGGCAGGTAGCTGTTTATTTTGCTTCGTAAAAAGCTGTCACCCCCAAGCATCTCAGTGAGGAAAGTTGCAATAGGGTCTGACCAAATCAAAATTGAAACTCTATTTGAAAGGTCTAATTGAAACACAGACCAAAATTCTTCAGCTGAGACCATTACTCCCAAAACTGCCTTAAAATTGCTGCCTGGCAAGTGGGAAACACTCCCTGGAAAGGCCTGTTAGAGCTGTAACAGGTGTCTTACAAACAAACAAAAAATAGGTTACTTTGGACTATTGCCACCAGGTGGCATAAGCATGGCTGTCACAGTACACTCGCCCATTCCTGACTCTTACGAACAGTGCTGCTCCTAAAGATTGTAAGTGTCAATCTGTAAGGTGAGAAAAATAGTTTTGTAGAGAGAGCTGTGAAAGGGGACAATGTTCAGGCTTCTGGTGTTAGTTATTGTTTCTGTAAGCAAATACAGAATGGGAAATACACACAGGCAGACTTCATCTGTTCTCTGGCATCCTCTGGTTAGTTTGGATAATCTCTACTTCTCAATGCAATTTCCCACTTAGGGAGGTTACTGCTGGTGATGCTGCTTCCAGTCATATCCACTTACACAGTATATCTTTGTTTTAAACTGTTCCGCCTGGTCCAACCAGACAGAATTAATTCATGGTATGTGTGCAGGATACCCTTTTGTCTTTCGCTAAGCATGTCTCATGTACCCCGGCCTTTACATTTACAATCAGTTATATTACTGACATGTTAAACTGATTTGTAGCATTCTCCTTACCACATCTCAGGGATTCCTTGGCTGTTTGAGAATATTCTCACTTATTTGGGGGTAGCTTTGCTTTCTCAGACTATGATAACTCTTCTTCCCCAATTTCTTTTCTCTGCTCAGTACACACAAACCCTTGACTATATGGGACTCATTTCAAAAGTTACTCCTGATCTTCCAGTAGGCTGCTGTTCAGCCATGCACAGAGTTCTGTCCCTGCAAAAACCAAGGTTCCCTTGAAATCTACTAAATCCTCTTAAAATTCAGTGCAGAATACTTTTTTACATTTGAATAGCAGTGCTCTGGCAATAGGGTTGTAAAATGAACAGGCTAACTGCTCCCTTGGGTTAACTTCACAAATGACACTGGATTCTACCCTGTTTGTTATATCATTTTTCATGTACATAACTTCACTGACACCACACCTCAGGAGTGCTCTAACTCAGAAGCAGTTATTTAAACCAATCTGAAAAGAGCTGAGAAAACAGCAGTTGTGATAGCGGTTGCATGAAACACTACACATACTTCTCCTTTAATCTGGGTAATAATAGAAGGTGAGACAGTACTAGGAATGTTGTCTTCCCTAGAGAATGAAACAAAACTAGCAAGACAGGCTCATTCAATAACTCGGAGATTAGAAAAATCACATATCTAGGAGGAAAATGTCAGCTAACAAGTTATGGGGAAGTAATCTTGTCCACTAAGTGGAACAGCAGTTTGTAAATTGGGAGGATGTTCTTTATAATTGGATTAATTAGAAGAGACTAAGGTATCTGATGCCTAATTTAGAACAATGATACATCTTATTAACCAAGTGTCTCCATTAATTTTCTTTACTAGATTTGGCCTTAGTATAATGTACTTGAAAAATTAAAAGGGCACCAGCTACTTAATTTGGGTCCAAAATCTGTTGTTGTTTTTTTATGTTAAAAAAAATGTGATTTACAAACCTAATGTGAACATACTTTTTTGAAATAATGAAAATATTTTTCAGTTAAACAATTTAAAGCAGGATTTTATGAAGGGAGGAGGAGTTTGGGAGCGAATTACGTATTCCCCTGCACGGCTATGAACTCAAACGCGAGAGCATTGGCTTAGTGCCTGAGAATCAGAAAGTGTAACCACCAATTCAGAAAGATTTGCTTATCTTTTTTCTTTTAGGCAGACTTCTTGTTCCAGTGCTGGTCAACAGTGATAGTGATGTCACTAGTCCATTGCATGCAGGGATGTCTGAGGGTGAGCAGGAAATGAAGCAGCTTTAGACAATAACTTCAGCTGCCTATAAATGAACATCAAAACGCAGGTTAAACAAAATAAGAACATAATTTTAATTTTTTTCTTCTGATCATTTATTTGAGTATTCATCTTCTTTCACTAATGACTGAAACATCTTACTAACAAAATCAATCTGTTCACCTATTTAAAAAGACAAAATAAATGTTATTACAAATCCTTGTTCTTGGGCTCTGATGATGTATACTGAGCTTCACTATAGAGGCAATTGTATTGCTGGAAAGTTCGAATGGAAATGCTAGTTTTGTAGCCAAGGTTTTCAAACTTGGGTGCCTAAATGAGAACACCAAATTCCACAACTGAGCAGTCAAACAGGATGCTGTGGAGGCATATTAAATACTCATTTCAGAGACAGAATGGAAATAAACATAGAACTAGACTCCCAAACATAGGTGGCCAAGTTTCAAAATTGGGTTCAAAGTTTGAATGTTATCGCTGTGAGTAATCCTATAAGTGACAAGGACTAAGGTAATATATAGTATTTACCAGATTAGAATCAACTGGGATAGGTTCTGCCAAGTTTTCCTTTGACTGACAACTAGTGAAAATTGATCCTTAAATAATAGATCGATGGACTGTCACTGTTGGATTGCTATTCTATGTCTGGATAGAAGCATACTTTTATCTTTTTCTTTCTAACATTTTTTCTTCTAAAGTTTGAATGATAAAAGTTGATTAAAGGCCTTTGGAGATGCAGTAGGGAAGTAGCAGAGAAACACTTGCAATAATTTTTCCTTCTCAAAGCCTTACTTTATTGGAAAGAGGGGTATTTTTAATGAGCTTTTGTCGCTATTGGTACTTCACAAATTATGATATTCCATGATTATCCAAAATCCATTTTGTCTCCCTGAATCTGACATTCATATAGAATCTGAATTTTGTTAATTCAAAACAGACTCCAGTGATCTGAAAGTTTTGGGGGTCCCCTGAGAAATGTGGATAATTAGCGGTTATCAGTAATAACTGTACCTTATTATCTCAGCTTCTGTGAGATAAGAACTGGGAATATTGCAGCCAAAGCACTGGCTTTCAAATGGCAATGTTATAAATAATACATTACATGTAAATAAGATTGAAAATCCTTGTGTGGCACTGTGCAAAATGTAACCGTGTAGCTGAAGGCTCTTGCAAGCTACTGTGCAGTGTTAGGCATGTGAAGAAATTAACATTGAAGAAGTCGCTACCAAAATTCTTTTTAGCTTGAATACTCTTGTGCATTTGGGGTGTGTGTAGTGCACATAACTTTTGAGTATCGGTTGTATTAGATTAAAAATAGGTCTTTATTTCATAACAAGATTTAAAATAATTGCCAAAGGCAAGTCATTCTACCTTCATATATTTGGCTGTGCATTTTATAGTGTGATGAAAAGAGGGTTATGTAATGAAAACCCATCATCTTTGTAGTTCTAGGATGTTTTCCTAATTACAGTCAGCGCCCATTTCTACCATTTGCAGCGCAGATGTTTCTTATTGTGCATATGAGTAATATGCGGCATGGTCTCTAGGCCGGTCCTGTTTATCAGACCAAGAAAGACGCTAGAATCTGATAAAGTAACAAACCCATTTTCTATTCTCAGAGGCCATATGCTCTGTGTAACTGAGGTTGGATCGTCTTAGTAAAAAAGGTTTAAAAAAAATTGTGTAGTCTGATCAGCTAAACACCACTGCCAAGGAAATGGAGTCTAATTTGTCTTTGCAGGGTCTGTCTGTATAACTCTGCCAGCGATGGAAATAGTCTATTTTAGAGTTTTATTCTGCTGCCCATCTCCTGAGTATCTGAGCACCTTCCATGTAAGATCAATAGCAATAATAATACCACTAGCTCTTATTTATCATTTTTCATCTATACATCTTGGAGCACTGTACAAAACAGGTCAATATCATTATCCTCATTTTGCAGATGGAGCAAACAGAGACAAAACAGAGGCATAGAGCGGTATGATGATGTGCTCAAGGTCACTTAGCTGGCCAATGGCAGAGCCAGGAATAGAACCAGGTCTCCTGACTCCCAGGCTAGTGCTCCATCCATTAGGCAACAGTGCCTTGTAGTGCTCAACAGTGAAGTCCCAAGTGGACTTCATGGATTCATTTCTCCCTTTCAAGGGTCAAAATTCTCTTAGGAGTAAGGGGCTTTTTTGTGGGGGTGGAGGGTTCATCAGAATTTGGGAATCAATGTGGTGTCTGAATTGTGAGTTTCACTTGTGGGGCAAAATCATTTAATAAAAAAAAAAAAAAAGAACATTTTGTAATGTTTCCTCAAGATGGTCAGACTCTGGATTCACTTGATCTCCTCTGGAAGATTGTTGCATAGTTGTATCCCCTCAGTAGAGAATGGCTTGTCCCCAGCTCTCACATTGCAGACCATGAAGTCCAGAACACAATGTTCCAGAGGAGCGCAGTTGTTGCAGTGGTTCCAGGGCCATCCTTACCCATACGCAAAGTATGCAGCTGCGTCCGCCTCTTCTCCAGGGCCTCCGCCCCAGCTTCGCCCCAGCCCCACCTCTTCCCGCCCCCACTCCACCCCTTCCCCAAAGCCCCCGCCCCTGTTCCTCCCCACCCCGCCCCTTCCCACCCCCAACTCCCCTGAGGACTGAAGCAGGGCCAGGCCTGCACTCACCGGTGGCGGGAAGTGCAGCGACCCGGCCCTGGCTGCGCCGCCGGTGAATGCTGGGGGGTGGTTCCCCCCTGTCCTCCAAGCCAGCCACCCGCCCCCTGCGGAGGCCTGGGGCCAGCCCTTCCCCCACACAGAGGCCTGCCCCGCCCCCCCCACAGTGGGGGCTGTGTAGGGCCCCAAAATAGCTAGGACAGCCCAGAATGGTTAATAGATTGAAATTCTGTTTTTGCAGTAACTTGGGCTTAATCTGTTAATTGCTTTGAAAATTATGAGCAAGGCCTTAAACTGGCATTGGAAGCTTTCTGGGAGCCAGAGGAGGAACTTGAGCAAAGGCCTGATGTACTCAGCGTGGCCTGGGCTTTAGGCATTCTGCAGGCTTGTCTACACTACAAAGTTAAGTTGACATACAGCCCCCGCAGTAATTAAAGCGGTGGCTCACGTCCACACTTGGTCCTTCTGTCAGTGGTGTGTGTTCTCATCAAGAGCTCTGCCACCCACTGAAGTGGGGCATTGTGGGACACCGACAGCTGGAGCCCAGCAGCCTTGGGGGGTGGGAGAGGCAACTGTGAGTCTGCGCCCGGCTGGCAGCTTGGGCTGTCGGTGCCGGGGCAGGGGGGGAGAGCTCCAGCTGTCAGCCCCACTTGGGGCCGACAGCCAATGGGCAGTGTAAGTAACACAGCGTCTATACAAACACTGTGTCACCTTCACTACATTGACAAAAGCATTAGGCCTCTTGTGGAGGTGGAGTTACTATGTCAGTGTAATGAGGGACTTACTTTGGCGGAAGCAGCATTCTAGTGTAGACACTGTCATGATTAGGTCATGATTAGTAAGCCACCTTGTATTGACCTAATTCTGTAGTGTAGACCAGGCCTGACAACACTACATAACTAGGCTTGTGAGGTCTTATACTCCACTCCTCAGCATTTCTGTTTTATCTGATCACTTCCAAAATTGAAGGGAATGTTCTAGGCATTGATGGATATAATCCTTTGATTTTGGGTAAATTCAGAAAACTGGAAGGAGAAAATGGGGGACACACGGCGCCTCCGGCATCTGGTTAGTCCATGTATCAGGTTCAACCAGTTCTGTAATTGTCTATAAACAACTGGCTGATGTCAGCCATTACACCTTCAGGCAAAACTATACCCCATCTCAAGTCTGTCCATCCTCCCAATAGAATTTGAAAGTTTGACACCTGGAGAAAAGAGAGGAAGGCGGTAGGGTGAAAATGGGGGAACACATAAGCCCCTGGGATGGGGGAAAAATGAAAGGGGGGGGCTGTACAACTGCTGGCATGGGGAAAATGGGGGATAGTGGTATGGGGGCAGGAGACATGGGGAACAGAACCCTGGCATGGAGGTGGAATGGGGGGCATGTAGCCCCTGCTGTGATGGGGAGAATAGGGGATGGGGGGGGACACAGAGCTCCTGGCAGGGTGTCCCTAAACTAGAGGGAGGTGGTAAGGTGGGGCACAGAGAGCTTGTGGGGGAGAATTGAGGGATGCAGGTGTCCTCTGGCACGTGCCGTGAGCTTAGTTCATAGAACCAACAGAATGTGAGACCCTAGTGTGTTAAGCAGATTTAGTAAAGTTTTCTATATGCATGTATGTCTAATGTAATCTATAAACGCTGTTTTAAATATCACCTCTTCAGCTGCTGTTTTATGACCTTTCTGCTTGTTGCCTTTGATATGAAGCAGCCCTTCAGAGGCATCTGTTTAATCAAGAAATATTGTTGAAGCATCAGATTTGCTTGTGCAAAAGTTCCCTCTGTAATGGTGGTTTTATAGCAGCTTGAAAGACGGAACTTGAAGTGATGCAGAGCTGTATAAAATCTAAAGGAGTACATTTTGTTTGTTGGGATGATATTGTGTAGTCAGACACACCCACAGCCCTGCAAACATAGAGACCTCTCTTTACATCAAAGTGCAGTAGTAAGGGAATAGCAGCATTTCTAGCAGAAATATAGGATCCTTTGCTCGCCATCTCTCACATTCTGCTGATTCCTCTAGTTTGCAGTTTCCCGGCTTGTTATTAACCTATTCTATACCACGATTGATGCTTCCCCTTTGTCCACCTTCACAGCCCAGGCCAACACGTCTTTTTTCCAAGCTCCAGGAGAGGTAACAGGATATTAGATGACTAACTGCCTCTGTTTCTACTAGCCTATGTCCAATTGTCCAGATCACTCTTGGTCCTTGAGTGACTTCATAATACTTTGCCTCTGTGCTGCAGAGCCAATTTGTCCTGTGTTTACTGAGGCAAAATATTTTGAATCCAAGTGAAGATATTGTTAAACTTCAACAAGTAAAATCACAGGTTGTTATG